GCGAAAATTACATAGCGCTCGTTATATAATTTATCTTTTTCATCCAGAAAAAAATCCAACTTTAACTTATTGATTAAAAACTGTGAGTTTGACATCCGTGGGATGTTGTAGTTTTCTTCTGTTAAGTAAGAAAAAATATATTCCATGATGTGCTCACCATAATCATCATCACCATTATTATTATTTTTTATCATCATTATTATGATTATTATTAATCTTATCATCATTATTATTACTATCATCATTATTAAAATCATTATTATTATTATCATCATCATCGTCATTATCATTATCATCAGAATCAGAATCACCATCATCATCATCACCATTATTATTGTTATCATCATCATCATCATCATCATTATTATCCTTATTACAATATCTCGGTTCCATCCATGACCAAAATTCGCGTCCACTAAAAGACAGGTGTCATTGACGTGTACAGTGAGGTAATGGCGGAGACAAAACATCTGTGACGGAGTGCCAACAGCTGTTTTAGGTGGCACTTTGCATGTCAGCGTTTTTACACTTGACTGTTCGTGGCAATACAGGATATTTCCGTACATATATGAACACATACTCATGCATATGCGTATACACATACACCATAAATATTACATATACACTTACAAACATAAACACACACATGCACATACACACACGTACAAGCACATGCCCACGCACATGTACACGCACACGGACACGCACATGTACACGCACACGCACATGCACGTGTGTGTGTGTGTGTGTGTGTGTGTGTGTGTGTGTGTGTGTGTGTGTGTGTGTGTGTGTGTATACACACACATCTATCTCCCTGTCTATCTATCTGCCCACCTATCTCACTATGTATCTCTCTCTATATATATGCATACATACATGCATATCTATATACAGACACACACACACACACACACACACACACACACACACACACACACACACACATATATATAAATATATATATATATATATATATATATATATATATATATATATATATATATATATATATATATATATATATATATATATATATAATGTGCATACATATATATATCAATATGTATGTACGTGTGTATGTATGTGTGTGTGTGTGTGTGTGTGTGTGTGTGTGTGTGTGTGTGTGTGTGTGTGTGTGTGTGTGTGTGTGTGTGTGTGTGTGTGTGTGTGTGTGTGTGTGTGATCCATATAAAAAATATATATGTATATGAATATACATATATTCACACACACACACACATATGTATGTATTGACAAAACATGTTTATACCTATACATGTGTATGTAGATATACGTGTGTATGCGTGTGTGTGTGTGTGTGTGTGTGTGTGTGTGTGTGTGTGTGTGTGTGTGTGTGTGTGTGTGTGTGTGTGTGTGTGTGTGTGTGTGTGTGTGTGTGTGTTTATACATGCATACATGCATATAAATATATATATATATATATATATATATATATATATATATATATATATATATATATATATATATATATATATATATATATATATAAAATTCTCAATGTCCCCTTTTCAATAATTTTTTTGAGTGTTTAATGGTAGTCACTCTAATGGGGCTACGCTGCTAAAATTTTCAATGTCTCTTTTGCAATAATTTTTTTGAGTGTTTAATGGTAGTCACTCTAATGGGGCTACGCTGCTAAAATTTTCAATGTCTCTTTTGCAATAATTTTTTTGAGTGTTTAATGGTAGTCACTCTAATGGGGCTACGCTGCTAAAATTTTCAATGTCTCTTTTGCAATAATTTTTTTGAGTGTTTAATGGTAGTCACTCTAATGGGGCTACGCTGCTAAAATTCTCAATGTCCCCTTTTCAATAATTTTTTTGAGTGTTTAATGGTAGTCACTCTAATGGGGCTACGCTGCTAAAATTCTCAATGTCCCCTTTTCAATAATTTTTTTGAGTGTTTAATGGTAGTCACTCTAATGGGGCTACGCTGCTAAAATTCTCAATGTCCCCTTTTCAATAATTTTTTTGAGTGTTTAATGGTAGTCACTCTAATGGGGCTACGCTGCTAAAATTCTCAATGTCCCCTTTTCAATAATTTTTTTGAGTGTTTAATGGTAGTCACTCTAATGGGGCTACGCTGCTAAAATTTTCAATGTCTCTTTTGCAATAATTTTTTTGAGTGTTTAATGGTAGTCACTCTAATGGGGCTACGCTGCTAAAATTTTCAATGTCTCTTTTGCAATAATTTTTTTGAGTGTTTAATGGTAGTCACTCTAATGGGGCTACGCTGCTAAAATTTTCAATGTCTCTTTTGCAATAATTTTTTTGAGTGTTTAATGGTAGTCACTCTAATGGGGCTACGCTGCTAAAATTTTCAATGTCTCTTTTGCAATAATTTTTTTGAGTGTTTAATGTTATTCACTCTAATGGGGCTACGCTGCTAAAATTTTCAATGTCTCTTTTGCAATAATTTTTTTGAGTGTTTAATGGTAGTCACTCTAATGGGGCTACGCTGCTAAAATTTTCAATGTCTCTTTTGCAATAATTTTTTTGAGTGTTTAATGGTAGTCACTCTAATGGGGCTACGCTGCTAAAATTTTCAATGTCTCTTTTGCAATAATTTTTTTGAGTGTTTAATGGTAGTCACTCTAATGGGGCTACGCTGCTAAAATTTTCAATGTCTCTTTTGCAATAATTTTTTTGAGTGTTTAATGGTAGTCACTCTAATGGGGCTACGCTGCTAAAATTTTCAATGTCTCTTTTGCAATAGTTTTTTTGAGTGTTTAATGGTAGTCACTCTAATGAGGCTACGCTGCTAAAATTCTCAATGTCACATTTTCAATAATTTTTTTGAGTGTTTAATGGTAGTCACTCTAATGGGGCTACGCTGCTAAAATTTTCAATGTCTCTTTTGCAATAATTTTTTTGAGTGTTTAATGGTAGTCACTCTAATGGGGCTACGCTGCTAAAATTTTCAATGTCTCTTTTGCAATAATTTTTTTGAGTGTTTAATGGTAGTCACTCTAATGGGGCTACGCTGCTAAAATTTTCAATGTCTCTTTTGCAATAGTTTTTTTGAGTGTTTAATGGTAGTCACTCTAATGAGGCTACGCTGCTAAAATTCTCAATGTCCCCTTTTCAATAATTTTTTTGAGTGTTTAATGGTAGTCACTCTAATGGGGCTACGTTGCTTAAATTCTCTATGTCTCTTTTGCAATAGTTTTTTTGAGTGTTTAATGGTAGTCACTCTAATGAGGCTACGCTGCTAAAATTCTCAATGTCCCCTTTTCAATAATTTTTTTGAGTGTTTAATGGTAGTCACTCTAATGGGGCTACGCTGCTAAAATTTTCAATGTCTCTTTTGCAATAATTTTTTTGAGTGTTTAATGGTAGTCACTCTAATGGGGCTACGCTGCTAAAATTCTCAATGTCCCCTTTTCAATAATTTTTTTGAGTGTTTAATGGTAGTCACTCTAATGAGGCTACGCTGCTAAAATTCTCAATGTCCCCTTTTCAATAATTTTTTTGAGTGTTTAATGGTAGTCACTCTAATGGGGCTACGCTGCTAAAATTTTCAATGTCTCTTTTGCAATAATTTTTTTGAGTGTTTAATGGTAGTCACTCTAATGGGGCTACGCTGCTAAAATTTTCAATGTCTCTTTTGCAATAGTTTTTTTGAGTGTTTAATGGTAGTCACTCTAATGAGGCTACGCTGCTAAAATTCTCAATGTCCCCTTTTCAATAATTTTTTTGAGTGTTTAATGTTATTCACTCTAATGGGGCTACGCTGCTAAAATTTTCAATGTCTCTTTTGCAATAATTTTTTGAGTGTTTAATGGTAGTCACTCTAATGGGGCTACGTTGCTTAAATTCTCTATGTCTCTTTTGCTGAAATTAAAAGGTTGTCACGTTTCAGATATATGTCATTAGTCACTAATGGGGCGTCGCTGCTTAAATTTTCTATGTCTCTTTTGCTGAAATTAACAGGTTGTCACGTTCCAAATATATGAATTTTCGTAAGATTTCCATCCTCAGAAGGATTATGCCTGATTAGTGTTATATGCATCGTTCATTTAAATTTTGAAGAAAAAAAAGAGGTGCTTTGAAATATCAGATTAAATTATAAGGACATTTAATAATTATAAAAGGGTATTTGTCTTAACCCCTTGGTGCCGGGTGACGCCGATTGGCGTGCACACAAACCGCTCGAAAGCTGGTGTGTGGCTGTACGCCGCGGCGGCGCGCCAAAGCACGGCGAGCTAGTGATTCGGGCTGATGTCCCCTACTCACGCGCTCAAAGTTGGCGCGCCGCCTTTGTTTGCTAGAGCGTAGTTTTTTGTTTTTTTTGTTTTGTACACCCGGTGTCATTGGGTTAAGTAAGACAACATGAAGTGATGGATTGACTGCTGTGTTTTGTGCTCTGGCAAAGACCAACTATTCAACCCCATATATATTTGGCAAGATAGAGGTAGGACGGTTCCCTCATTGGATGAGCTGCCAGGAATTTGAAAGGTTCTGTCCTTCTGGAATATAAATGCTAGGGGTTTGTTTGTTTGTACAGGAGAAATGCCAAATCTTGACGCCAAGAATGCTACTGGGCTTGTTTACATAACATAGATGAGTGAACTTTGCTCAGAGTTTGTGGCTTTAACGATTAAATGAGAGAGAATTATTATGGAAACTCAGTTATTAGACATGGATATAAGAGTATGCAAATTTAGTTATGGAAATTGAAGCCTCTGTTATGCTTTATGTCTCTCAGGATTAGGGTAGATTAGCTTATTATTATTTATATGTACATATATATATTTTTTTATTTAGGTGAATTATTTTTATTTTGAGAATATGCCTTCAGTCTTACCATAACAAACTAAATCTGAATGCATTTTGACAGGGTACTCATCACTAGAGCTATGAACTATGAAAAGAATTGTCTTGATGAGTTTGGATTTTACATAAAGGTTATAGAGAAGGTATTGACTTAAAAAGATTGTATGTATCTAAGCAATATTGTCAGGGATAACAAAGCAACAAGCCAAACAAAGAAATGGAGAATCATGTGATCAAGGGAGATAGAAAATGAAAATATTTCCGGTCTATAAGTTAGTAAACAGGTGATAGCTCTCATCCTGAAGGTCAAAGAGAACAAAAGAGAAAACCTTTTTTTTTTTTTTTTAATAAGAAAAGGACAAAATTTGAATAGTATAGTTATCCAAACATGAGAAAAAGAAAATGAAAATAATAAAGCAGCATCTTTATTCCAGAGATTGAAAATATGACAGCTGAAGTAGACAAGGAAGTGGAGGCTGCGATGCAGGCCATGTTGGATGAGGAGGACCTTGCTGAAGGACGGGATGAAGGAGATGAGCCCAAGGATGACTTTCCTGAGGATGACTTCCCTGATGATGACTTTCCTGATGATGACTTTCCTGATGATGACTTTCCTGATGATGACTTCCCTGATGGTGACTTTCCTGATGATGACTTCCCTGATGATGACTTCCCTGATGATGACTTCCCTGAGGATGACTTTGAGGGAATGGATGAGAAGAAGGGGTCAGCACTGGTAAGTCAATGATGATGAGGTTATGTGAGGAACTGAATAAAGATGAATTAATTTCTCTTAGTCGGGTGAGTGAAGTTGATGTTTTATCTTCAAACCTGAATGGAAAAGGAGAGATGTGGATCTAAATAAGGTAAAAAAAAAGAGAAATGTAGAATATAAACAAAAATCTGATGTAGAAATGAGTCGCATTCACCCACCATCCTTACTCTCAGATCGTTCATTCATCTATAACTAAACATTCTGATTACGTGGCAACTCCTTGAACTCTCTTTATTTCAGGACTGTACGACAGTGTATGAGGAGGAGACGCTACCCTCAGGAATCCCTCCTCCATCCAAGCACCACCTGGAAGTGCTTCAGAAGTCCTTTGGGCACTCCTCCTTCAGGCCAATGCAGTGGAAGATCATACATGCCGTGTTGCAGGTTAGTTCTGGCATGATATGTTGATTTCGAAGGGTATTTTGGTCTGTTTGTTTTTTAAATGTATTTATGTATGTTTCTTCTTTCTGTACTGATTTCCTTTTGAGTTTATGCGGTGTAGTTTTTTTTTTGTGTTTGTTCATTCACTCATGTGTATATTTAAGCCATTGGATCCCTTTACAATGTTATTTTGTCTTTTTCTGCATAAATGGTAATAGACTGTTTTCCATGCACAGACTCCATATCATCTCTGTAGATAGTCAGTAACCCAGTACAATAATAGGCGTGTGTGTGTGATGATTTAGATTTTTTTCAAGTATATTTGAATGTATTTAAAGTAGTAAGTTATTCTTATGTTAGATAATAGTCAGGTACTGTACCATAAATTTCATAACCCATACTAAATATCTCAAAACTTTCTCCTCAAGGGTCGTGACAACTGTGTGGTGATGGCAACAGGCTACGGAAAGAGTTTGTGTTTCCAGTTCCCACCAGTGTATACGGGGGGTGTGGCAGTGGTGGTCTCTCCCTTGATTTCTCTTATGCAGGACCAAGTACTAGCTCTTCAGGTGAGTGGAAAGGAATAAGTTTATAAAGAAGAAGGTTTAAGATTTCCTTAGAAGTATATAGAGTAATTGCTTGCTTATGTAATATTACTTTTACACTCATAAAAACCAAAAAAAGTTTTCTGCCATACATGTAAATTGGTTCAAAATGTTTCAAGCTTAGTAGTCATGGATTCCTTTCATGTTGGAGACTGAAATTGGAATGGATTATTTGAAGAAAATTGGTTAGACAAAATGATTTACCTGGGGGAATATTAAATTTTAGAAGCCAAAATAACAAAAGAAGCATTTGTCCTCATGCTTGATACAAGCATCAGTGCTTTTCAGAGTGAAATAGTGAAGTGCTATGTGTTTGTTTATTAAGATTAATTTCTTTGATTTACTATTGAAGTATTGCATTCTTAGATGTAAAACAAGCTTCTAATTGTTTTATTTTACAGGCATCCAACATAGGAGCATGCTACTTAGGCAGTGCTCAGAAAAATAAGTCTGAAGTCTATACGGAGATGTTTGCTGGGACGTACAGAATTGTATATGTCACTCCAGAATTTATTGATGGTAAATAAATTAACTGAAAACATTACCAGTTGACAGTATGTTGATAAACTAAATTATTATTTGTGTATATAGACTATTTGAAGTCTTGACAGATTTTCCAGTTCTTTGGCTTTTTCCTTTTGAAATATTAGAGTGAGTTTCTTTATATAAACCTGTGTCTTATTTAGCCATGCAGAGCTTGTGAATTTATGATAGATAATAGCTTGAGGGTCCTCTTGAATTACAGATTTAAGCTTTTATTTATCATGTTTTATTGTATAGGTTTTGAATAATATAGGATAGGAAATAGTAGGCTCTAACATATGCATGTTCATCAGTATCAAGGTCATACTATAAATTATCTCTATTAGGATATTCAGAATTCTCAGTACAATGTTAATGACTGCATTTATGACTGAGGGACTCATGTGTAAGAGAAAGTTAACCATGAAGAACATTGTTTTTCTTTCTTCCAGCTTGTCCTGATGTGTTGAAAACACTTGATAAGAGAGTCGGAATATCCTTGTTTGCTGTGGATGAGGCTCACTGTGTAAGCCAGTGGGGACATGACTTCAGGGTTTCATACAGGTGGGTTTAGCATAGATACGTGGAGCCAGTGAGTTAGTATGCTGGTTAAGGATATCATCATTTTGTATGTTTTTACATATTGTCACAAGACAAAATATGGTTTTGGAGATGGCATGAATACCAAAATGTTGATCATGATGGTTATCAAGCCTATTAAAAATATTCATTCTTATTCTTGATTGTGTCATTTTTTTGACTAATGGTAGTGTTGAGTCCCATTTTTGTATGTTCATATATTTAGAAATGATTTAGGGAAAGATTTGTGAAAGATGGGAAGTTTGCTGTACTGCTAATATGATGTTTTTTATACTAATGATAATGATCATTGTTTAGTCAAAATTATATAATTTCTTAATGGAAAGTTTTTCTCTAAACTTTAAGCAGATGAGCTTTTAAAATGCACACATTGAACAAGCATTTACTTGGCATAGACAGGTAGGCCTAAGTGTAAGGTGAAAAGCAATTAGTGGAAACAATGTTCAAATGAAGAATACAATTTTTTTTTTTCTTTATTATTATTATTATTATTATTATTATTATTATTATTGTGTGTGTGTGTGTGTGTGTGTGTGTGTGTGTGTGTGTGTGTGTGTGTGTGTGTGTGTGTGTGTGTGTGTGTGTGTGTGTCTGTGTGTGTGTGTGTGTGTGTGTGTGTGTGTGTGTGTGTGTGTGTGCGTGTGTGTGTGTGAGAGTGAGTGAGTGAGTGAGTGAGTGAGTGAGTGAGTGAGTGAGTGAGTGAGTGAGTGTCTGCGGGAAGTTGGAATATACTACTATTGTCACCCTGAACAATGATGTGCACAAGGCCAGCCATTTAGACTTCAAACATAAACCAAGAAAGTTATATTTCAGGCGACTGGGGATCCTCCGGACCAGTTTTCCGAAGATCCCCATTTTGACGGTCACTGCCACAGCTACTAAGACGGTGCGGGAGGACATCTGCTCGTCTCTTGGCCTGAGGTGCTTGAGTTACTTTTGTGGTGTAGAGGTCGAGAGGATATTTCTTGATTGATTAGGACTGAGTGTGATATGTTGTTAGAAATTTATGATTAGAATCACAATGATATTGATAATAATTTTGGTAGAGATAATGGTATTGGTAATGGTAATGATGTATAAAGAATGATGATAAAAGCAATAGTGATAGTGATTTTGAAGATTGCATTGTCTCTGCCTTTCCCCCTTCATCTGTCAGTAAGGGATTAAGTGCATCATATATTCATTGTTTTCTTCTTTTCATAGGTCACCAGAGATTACAATCACCAGTTTTGATAGGCCGAACCTTTACCTGGAGGTGAAGAACAAAGTGAAGGGGATTGTAGAGAACTTCATTCCCTTCTTAGTCAAAGAAGCTTATGGGAGATACACCACAGATGGACCTACCATTGTGTACTGTCCTACTAAGAAAAGCACGGAAGAGGTGTATCAGGCCTTGGCAGGTCTGTGTTTTTCTTTATATTTATTTTTCATATTTTTTTTATGTGTGTCTCATTTTTGTGTTTTATATTTTGGAAGTCAGTTATTGGGGATTTTTTAAATGATTACTCTGAGTTTTTTTTTTGTTGTTATGCATGTTTTTCTTATCCAGAAAGTACAGATGTATGTTATTGTTATTATGTTTCATACTTTGAAAGTGTTAGAGTCTGTTAGTTTGAATGGTTTGCATTATAAAGTGCACTGCATTACTAAGAATGGATGTATGAGAAGAGAATATTAAACAGTGTCAGGTCTGTGTCATTTTAATGATATTTGTGTGCCCTCTTATTACTTTTCTCTCCCTCTCCCTCTCCTTCTCCTTCTCCGTCTCCTTCATATCTTCCTTTCTATAGGCTTCATTTCCTTGAGTATTTTTTCTGCATTTCTTTTTTTTCTTTTTGTTATTGTGATGAAAAAATGTTCCTACATATCTTTGTTCCTACAGGTTTGGGTGTAAAGTGTGTAAAATACCACGCAGGGATGACACCAGGCCAGCGAGATGAGGCACACAAACAGTTTATGTATGACAAGGTTTGTTACATTGAAAGTACCATTGAAATGTAATTGATAGATGAACTATGAAAGGTAACATTAAATCTTTGATCTACTGAGTAACATTGAAAATAAATAAATAAACAGACTTGTAGCACTAAGGCTATTGCTTTATGCTGGTCAATACTTTTTTTTTTTTTTTTTTGTACCCTCTGAATGTTAAGTCTAATTCATAGTTTTAACATTTCCATTCCTGTCTCTATTTTTAATTTTGTTTTTTTTCCATCATTTACTGTGTGTACTTTGGGATAGTATTGTAATTGAATGTTTGACATCCTTTAATATATTGGTAACAGTTTAGGTAATCCTGAAGGTGGTATAGTTCTAGGATTCATAGACTTCAGACAAATCGTACATTGTGTCACTCTAGCCTGGCCATTTCTTTTCATATACTATTTCAGTGTGGTATATATTACTTTTATATTGTGTACATATAAACAATATAATGAGGTGGCCTAATTTTTTTGGTCTATTTTTCATCTCCTATTTCCCTGTCAATTTTTTTTTGCAGGCAGATCTTATTGTTGCCACCATTGCATTTGGAATGGGTATAAACAAACCTGATGTTCGCCAAGTCATCCACTATGGAGCATCAAGTAACCATGAGTCTTACTATCAAGAGATAGGTCGTGCAGGACGAGATGGCCTGCCGTCTGTATGTACTGTTCTGTATGCACCAGAAGACTTTGCTGTGCATCGGTGAGTTCAGTTTTGTGAATGAATTGATGATGACTTTATGGAGGTTGTGTATTAATTAATTATGAGTATTCATGTGTACAGATTACAAATCAGTACATATGTAGAAAGACAGAAAGTAAGAAAGATATATACAACAGAGGCCAGAGATCAATCTACTCCAGCAGTGAAAGATCTGTTGAGTCCCAGGGAAAGGGGATAGGGGATAGGACAGCGGGATGGGATTCTATACATATTTCAAAAGGGAATAGCTAAGGTTTTATTTTTAGATTGCAAAAGTCTTGCTTCTAAAAAGCATATATTCAGTTTAGATTTATTTTGCTTAGTTTGTTAAACTAAATTTGACTTCATAACTATCTGCTTTCATGGAAAGTAGATGAATACTCAGTAGCTTTCTCAGTTGGGTCTGATACTTTAGCTTGAATTTAAAAAAGAATTTAAGCTATGTATTGTTATCGTAAGGGAGGGAGAGAATAATGAAAAACCATTATGTAGGAAAAAAGTAAGAATGTGAGCAGATCTTCATGGCATAAGAGATGTATTTGACATCTTTTGATAGTAGCTTATTCAGAAATGCACATATTTCAGATGACGATATAATCGAAATATGTCAAATACATCTCTCGAAGATATTCATTCACACTCATACCTTTTCCTTCATTTGACATAATAAACACTTTTCAGAAGGCTGTAAATGCCCATTCTTAACATTTTCTTCTTTCTCCTCAGTTACTTTTTGAGCCAGATAAGAAACCAGCGCTACCAGGAACGGCGGAGAGAGATGAGTGAGTGAGTGAGTGAGTGAGTGAGTGAGTGAGTGAGTGAGTGAGTGAGTGAGTGAGTGAGTGAGTGAGTGAGTGAGTGAGTGAGTGAGTGAGTGAGTGAGTGAGTGAGTGAGTGAGTGAGTGAGTGAGTGAGTGAGTGAGTGAGTGAGTGAGTGAGTGAGTGAGTGAGTGAGTGAGTGAGTGAGTGAGTGAGTGAGTGAGTGAGTGAGTGAGTGAGTGAGTGAGTGAGTGAGTGAGTGAGTGAGTGAGTGAGTGAGTGAGTGAGTGAGTGAGTGAGTGAGTGAGTGAGTGAGTGAGTGAGTGAGTGAGTGAGTGAGTGAGTGAGTGAGTGAGTGAGTGAGTGAGTGAGTGAGTGAGTGAGTGAGTGAGTGAGTGAGTGAGTGAGTGAGTGAGTGAGTGAGTGAGTGAGTGAGTGAGTGAGTGAGTGAGTGAGTGAGTGAGTGAGTGAGTGAGTGAGTGAGTGAGTGAGTGAGTGAGTGAGTGAGTGAGTGAGTGAGTGAGTGAGTGAGTGAGTGAGTGAGTGAGTGAGTGAGTGAGTGAGTGAGTGAGTGAGTGAGTGAGTGAGTGAGTGAGTGAGTGAGTGAGTGAGTGAGTGAGTGAGTGAGTGAGTGAGTGAGTGAGTGAGTGAGTGAGTGAGTGAGTGAGTGAGTGAGTGAGTGAGTGAGTGAGTGAGTGAGTGAGTGAGTGAGTGAGTGAGTGAGTGAGTGAGTGAGTGAGTGAGTGAGTGAGTGAGTGAGTGAGTGAGTGAGTGAGTGAGTGAGTGAGTGAGTGAGTGAGTGAGTGAGTGAGTGAGTGAGTGAGTGAGTGAGTGAGTGAGTGAGTGAGTGAGTGAGTGAGTGAGTGAGTGAGTGAGTGAGTGAGTGAGTGAGTGAGTGAGTGAGTGAGTGAGTGAGTGAGTGAGTGAGTGAGTGAGTGAGTGAGTGAGTGAGTGAGTGAGTGAGTGAGTGAGTGAGTGAGTGAGTGAGTGAGTGAGTGAGTGAGTGAGTGAGTGAGTGAGTGAGTGAGTGAGTGAGTGAGTGAGTGAGTGAGTGAGTGAGTGAGTGAGTGAGTGAGTGAGTGAGTGAGTGAGTGAGTGAGTGAGTGAGTGAGTGAGTGAGTGAGTGAGTGAGTGAGTGAGTGAGTGAGTGAGTGAGTGAGTGAGTGAGTGAGTGAGTGAGTGAGTGAGTGAGTGAGTGAGTGAGTGAGTGAGTGAGTGAGTGAGTGAGTGAGTGAGTGAGTGAGTGAGTGAGTGAGTGAGTGAGTGAGTGAGTGAGTGAGTGAGTGAGTGAGTGAGTGAGTGAGTGAGTGAGTGAGTGAGTGAGTGAGTGAGTGAGTGAGTGAGTGAGTGAGTGAGTGAGTGAGTGAGTGAGTGAGTGAGTGAGTGAGTGAGTGAGTGAGTGAGTGAGTGAGTGAGTGAGTGAGTGAGTGAGTGAGTGAGTGAGTGAGTGAGTGAGTGAGTGAGTGAGTGAGTGAGTGAGTGAGTGAGTGAGTGAGTGAGTGAGTGAGTGAGTGAGTGAGTGAGTGAGTGAGTGAGTGAGTGAGTGAGTGAGTGAGTGAGTGAGTGAGTGAGTGAGTGAGTGAGTGAGTGAGTGAGTGAGTGAGTGAGTGAGTGAGTGAGTGAGTGAGTGAGTGAGTGAGTGAGTGAGTGAGTGAGTGAGTGAGTGAGTGAGTGAGTGAGTGAGTGAGTGAGTGAGTGAGTGAGTGAGTGAGTGAGTGAGTGAGTGAGTGAGTGAGTGAGTGGGTGAGTGAGTGAGTGGGTGGGTGAGTGAGTGAGTGAGTGAGTGAGTGAGTGAGAGAGAGAGATCTTTTGTGTGGTTCTTTCAATACATATATATTTTGAAACTGTTCCTCTTTTTTCAAGATTATTCAGTATTATGTGTATATAGAAATAAGGAATCATTCTAGTTTAGGCTTTTACAGGTATTACATGGTATATTACCTTCTTTAAAGGGAAATTGTTTTCTTACCCTTTAGGTATAATTTAGGTAAAATTTTCTGATTAAAGATTTCTCATTTAGCAATGATATAATTATTCTTTTTACAGACTATCAGGTGGAGGAGTCAGCAAAGGTCAGAGCAGAGTCGAAGCAGCCCTCGATAGTGAAGGAAAATATGACTTCACTGTGGATGCCATCAACCTTTTGAAGGCAGCAGATGTGAGTGATTTCAAAGGAGAGAGAGGAAGACTCTTTGTAAAACAAATCAAAGAAGATTCACTGTTGTAGTGTTCACATAATTTACTTTTCCACTTGGACTAGAATAGTTAATCTTAAAGGTGATATATTATGATTTTAAGACACAATTTTAATTTTTTGTTTTGATTTAAAGCAGATGTTTTGAATTTTGCTGACTGTAGTCCATATATGTACTGTTGCAATGGGAGATATATTATATTTATATACTTTATCTATAGGGTTGTAATGGACAGTGTGCAGTAGGGTCTCTCATCCTAGTGCTTAAAGGTTCAAACAACCAACGGGTTCGACCGCAGTGGAAGAGAATAGAGTCCTTTGGTGCTGGCAAAAAGAGGAGTGAATCATACTGGAAGGCTTTGTGTATGTATGGAAATTACTTTATACTACAAAAACACAAAGTCTGTAAAGTAAAATGAAAGAGAATATGATTTACAAAATGACATACCCTGTTAAAGTAGATTTTTTTTTTATTGTAGTCTGCAGTGGAGTTTAAGATTTTGAGTAGAATTGTTGTGGATTATTATTATTTCTTGGACTTATTGTCTCATTTCTTACAATGTTTTGTACCATGAGTTACATTTTGTCATATATAACTATGATCTGTTGTGAAAAATCTGTTCACCTAAAGGAAATACAACTGCCATAACAGGAAAGTATTACCTTAAGATATTTTTGTCATTCACATTTCCTTGAACTTTTGTGTAGTATTTTGTGTTCACTTCCATTACTTTATTTTTGTGCAGGTAAGATGTTGGTATTTGCTGGCTATCTGTCTGAGACAACCATAAGCTCAGGGGGTGGTGGAAGGGGGAGGGGAGGATGGGGAAGGTCTGCCTCGACGTTTGCCTACGATGCCATTGGGATCACCAGGGAAGGAGATAGGGCACTCATGAACCCCAAGTGAGTGGTATCTTGTCTTGGATTTTTTCTTTAGATTTTAATTTATTTTTTTTTATACTAGACTTATTTTTTTCCCTGTAATCTTGATGCTTACTCTGGATGCTCACACTTTGTTTTGAGTCTCAGGATTTGTTCATGCTGATTTGATCTCATCTTTTATTACTCTGCTCAGGTGAAAGAGAAAGAGTCTAAGTCCACTTGATTGTTACAAGCTTAATAGTTCAAAGAGCTTTACATCAGGATGAACTTTACTACATGCTGTTACACCATACTCAAGAAAACGCATGATAAGATGGATGGAAGATTTTCACAATGCCAGTGATGAAGTTTCTGTACTTTATAGATTCACTTATCAAATCAAAGTATAAAAATCTTATCTTCTCTTTTACAGTTGCAAGATCCTCCTACAGCCCTCAGCCACAATGCTTGATGAACTGCGTTATGTCATAGCTATTAAGAGACCAACAGCTGCAGACT